AATGCAACAACCTGTTTCCAATTATGCGCCGTCTAATTGCCAAAAGTGCAGCATAAAATATCTAAAATACCGGCAAAACTTCCGCAAACGCAGCCGCCGAATGTCCAAATAGTTCCAAATGTGTCTCCAAAGTAAATTTCCACGAGACTACAACAGCCCCCAAAAATCCTTCCTCCCCGCCCAAAATTTCCCCTCGCGAAAACACAGCACCCCTCCCACAAATTGCATCGAAAGAACCTGTTGCATCGGTATTAAAAAAAAAGAAATGTTATCCAAAAGATAGGATACAACCGCAGCGGAATCGTCGGCTGGACCGATTCTCCGAGGAAATATCCATCGGGCCATCGTCGGGCCGAAAAAACCGGCGATCCGGTGTCCCCCGATTCTGATGCGACGTTGGAAGCCGGGCGTCTCGGTCGCGTAAAAATTGATTCCGTTGGCTGCGGGTTGTAGGGCCGTCCGGCGTGGTAGGCAGCGCGAGAAAAAGGGCGCCGGGGGCCGTCGTCAGCGGCGCGTGTGCGCAGTGTCCTCGTCCAACATGTCCGCCCGGGTGCCTCAGGTAGTCGTGGTTTTGCGGCGCGGTGCGTTGCACACCGTGGTCAGGCGAATCGCCGGGGTTCTCGTGTAGTTCGGTCGCCTTAGCGCCTAGTGTCTCGTCGCAGGTGTTTGGCCTGGGTGCACCCCCAGACGCGGGATCGGGGGTGCGTTCGAAAAATCGGCGTCGAAAGCCCAGCCTGGTTCCGCCAGGCGGCAGCGGGTCAGGTCGGTGCTGGTTAGGCAGTGTAAAACGCCGGCTAGAGTAGCGAGTAGCCCGTGGGTTCGAGCCAGGGCGGAGAAGCGTCGACAGACAGGGTGGAGGGGCGCTCCAGAGCGAGAGAGACCGAGGGATAGAGCGAGAGAGAGAGAGAGCGCGCGCAAGAGAGAGAGAAAGAAAGAGAGAGAGAGAGAGAGAGAGAGAGAGAGAGAGAGAGAGAGAGAGGAAGCTTGAGGCAGGCGCGCGTATTGATTCCCGCGTGGCGTTATACGGTGAGGTGAGAAAGCTGCAACCGGAAAATCCGCGCCGCTTCCTTCGCCGTCGCTGGGGAACCTGAAGACCTCCCTGAAGACCACCTCCGGGGAGGACTCCGGGACTGCCGTGGGTCGTCGACTGGCAAGGTAGGTCCCCTCGCCCGCGTCCAGGTGCTTTTCGATCCGCCGGGTGTCCTCGGTAGGACCCGAAGGCCCTAGTTCGCACGCGGCGGCTCTTCCTCGGGGAAGAGAGGCTGCCGAGCCGGCCAGGGAGGGTCGGCACTCTCGAAAAAGGGTATATCGATCGGCCGGGCCGGGACCATGGGTTCCCGCACGCCATCGTGCTCGACACTCCATCCTTTTCGCTTCCTCCGACCCGGCTGTCCCCTATCCTGTCGCGACAAGTCTCGTTCCTCCTCTCTGGGTCGACCGGTCGGGTCTGACACCCTTTTACCCGGCCCCCTGCACCCGACGCCGGCCCCCCGTCACTCTTTTCCCGTTCGCTCTACCCCCCATCCAACCTCTGCCACGTTTTTTGCCAAGCACACTGACAGGTGTCGCTCGTTAGCTACCCCTAAACAAGACCTGCCTGCCTGCCAGAGCTCCTAGCCAGCCGGCATTCCTACGCGCCTCTCAGCCTCTTCCTCTACGTGCTCGCCGCTCTCGGCCTTAAACTATCCCTTATCGATCGCCGTCCCCCTCCTCCCCCGCCGCGCTTACCGCTTCCCCGCGATCCGAAAATTCCGGCCGACGGTCCGCTGTCTACTCGCCGCGGCCCCACGACCGACGCCTTATCGCTCGCTTCCACTGGATACCCTCGAACGCGGAGATTTGTCTTCCGTATGGCGGCCTGCTTCACGCCTTTTTGCTACTTCGGTTACTTCCCCTCACCCCTTCTTCCCCGGCCACTCAACCGATGCCCCCGTTTTCTCAGAGAATTCTTTCGCTTCGGGAGACGTTCGACACGCCGGTTTGGAGAAATGGGACGCCAGACTTATGATTTTCTCGGTCTAGATAGACCATCGGATACTGTGGACGCTGTTCCGCAAGTTGGTACAATGGGACTCTTCTGGTATTGGTCCGTTCGCTGGGGTTAGGCATTTGGTAGCTATTTGTGCAGCCATCGCGTAGCAATCGCGTAGCTAATCCTTAACTCCTGCCGGCACTTACGGAAGCTCGAAGTGGCAAAAGAGGGAAGCTGTAGAAAACACGTCCGCTAAACTGTAACTTTGTTACCAAAGTAGCAACAGTTACACCCGCTGAAGCGTGTCGATCCCGAAGCCCCTTAAATTTTCAAGCCACTTTTACTTTTCCGCCGATACAGCGATTGTTGTACCGTCCACCACGTTCCCTTCCTCGTTTCTTGCTTCATACCCAATCACCGGACCCTCTCCTTACGTCCCCTATCGATCCCCTGGACGCGAAACGGAAAGCAGATTTGGACAATGAAGTTCGGGGAAACCAGTTGAATGTCCAGTCTCCGGCCATTCTTTCTCCCTGGCTGATCTAACCGTTGAACAGGTGTTTGTTACCTAACAGTCTGTTCACCGACCGAGTACACGGGATTCGATCCTCTAACCGCCTCCCTCGCAATGTTATCGAATTCTTGACGTCTCTAAGCTGATGATCCTCCGTGCACCACCGACTGCGGTCTCGATGTTTTATGCAAAGTATTCCGAACATTTCGGCCGGGATTTCTGCGCTAGGTTATCCGAGATTTGTAGGTTAACGCAGCCTGTAAGCTCTAGATTAGAGTACCAACGCTAGGGTATTAATAATTTCAAGGTTCGAGCTTCTAGACCATCTAGTTTTAGGACACCTCGGAACTTCCGGGTTAAAACATTCAGAGCTTCGAGGTTAAGACAGATGGATTCACTCTGGACGGGGACAATTTCATTGTATAGATTGGGGCAACCTAGTTCTCTAGGATAGAGCATCTATTACGCCCAGGTTAGGGCATCATGTTGCCTCAAAGTGTAGACTAGATTCCCTAGGTTGGAACGTTAAATTTTTTTAAATTGTACCATAGGTCTTCTAGGTTAGAATATCCGGTTGCTCTAAATTTTATCATAGATCCTGTAGATTGGAACACCCTGTTGTTTTACATTGTATTCTACATACTCTAGGCTAGGACATCCAGTTGTTCTAAAGTCTACTCTAATGCTTTTATGTTATGACATCCAGTTGTTCTAAATCGTACACTAGTTCCACGAGAATTGGACATCCAGTTACCATAAATTGTACCCTAGATCCTCTAGCATAGGACAACCAGTTGTTACAAATTGTACCCTGGACCCTCTAGCACAGGACATTCAGTTGTTCCAAATTGTACACTAGTTCCACAAGAATAGGACATCCAATTACCGTAAATTGTACACTAGATCTTCTAGCATAGGACATCCAGTTGTCACAAATTGTACTTTGGACCCTCTAGCACAGGACACCCAGGTGTCCCAAACTTTCACGATTTGCCTCCAGATATCAAATCCTAGAATTCATTCTAGAATTCTAGAATTCAAGAATCAAATTCTTCAGAATTTAGATGCTCGGCCATCCAGATGTCCTAAACTCTCATGATTTGTCCTCAGGTATAAAATCCTAGAATTCACTCTAGAATTCTAGAATCTAGGAATCAAATTCTCCAGAATCTAGATCCTCGGACATCCAGATGTCCCAAACTCTCACGACACGTCCCCAGAAATCAAATCCTAGAATTCTCTGTAGAATTCTAGAATTCAGGAATCAAATTCTTCAGAATCTAGATGCTCGGCCATCCAGATGCCCCAAGCTCTCATGATTTGTCCATGGAATCCGGCGGGAACTCCCACCGATGTGTCCCCCTAGAAAGAAGTTTGAACCATCAATATGACGGTCGTGGCCTGTTAGTCGTACACATCTTGGCAGCCCGTGGGTATACTTTGGTCGGAAACCGGCTTGGCGATCAAAGCGGTTAAAGAGCGATCGGGCAGCTTTGCGACAAAGTACCCGGAATCCCTGGGCGCGCGCGGCCGAAAGGATTAACAAGTTAGGGGATCTTTGTTTCGCCGAGCGAGACTGATCAAACCTCACCCTCCCGGCGCGGCCCACCCGGCCCACCTCCCGTAGGATCGCGGTTGACACCACATGGACCGGATTGCGATCGAAGCACCCCTTAAGATTGTGCGCAGTAGTGCGGGGTCCCCCCTTTTGTTCGCCGGCAGGCCACGCGATTTTCCGGCGCGCAGTTGCGGGCACGGCCGGCGTGCCCCACGGAAATCGTCCTCCTCGGGAATCGACTCGCGATGCTAAGCGTTAAGTGGCGTGCACGCCGACTATTGAGTCACGGTTCGCGTGTGCCGGCATAGTTATTCTCGCGTGCCGAGCCCGCGGACACGTTTTTATCCTGTACCACTGACGGACCGAGAAATTCTGCCGGTTCCGGCTCCGGGACGACGCGACGCGACGCGACGGAGATAGGTGATGTATCCTGGCTGGCGGATTACACGACGATTTTTCGGAATTTCGAGGGTGCGTGGTGCCGGTGGATGTTTCTTCTTAACTGATTGCGCCATGATTTCTTTCATGGCTACGGTGATTAGCTTTTCTTTATCCGTAATGAACTCGTGCACGAGAAAGGCGTGTTTATGTTCCGCGGCACGCGCCTCTCCTAACAGTGTAGAATTTTTCTTGGGACTGAACGGTACACGGATTTGTAGATTGGACCCTTCTGTTTCCGATGACCTAGCAAAATTTGATCTGCGATCTTTTTTTCATCGTTTTGTTGAACTGAAAAGAGGGGTAAGTTCGTTGCCACGAAATCCCGCATGACCTCGTGATATCCAAAAAGTCGATGATCTTCACGTTGTTGTATTTTCGTGAAGAAAAATCGTACGTCGACGAACCGTAGCTCATTTGAAAGCTCGTAGCTTCTACTTTTACTATCTGGAGTTCATTTTCTCTAAGAATTTTTTTCCGTGACACTCCCCGTTAGAAATTAAAGGTACAATTGACTTGGAAAAGGGGGCAATTCACAAGTCTGTCAAATGATTAAAAAATTTTTTCCCTCACTGAATCTACCACAGATTTGAAGATTAAAGTTTCCTCTTTCAAACGAGTCGTCAAAAATTGCTCTACGATTTTTTGTAGCTGTTTCATAGAACTGAAAAGAGGAGTAAGTCCGGTAGCAGAAAATTCCATATGACCTCATGATATCCAGAAAGTCGATGATATTCACATTGTGGTATTTCCGTGAAAAAAAGTCATACAACGATGAACCATAGCTCATTTCAAAGCTCAAAGTCTCTAATTTCATTATCTGTAGCCCATTTTTCCTGAGGATTTTTTCCCATGACGTTCCGCGTTGGAAACTGAAGATACATTTTTTCTCAAATATAGTACAAATTCGCACGTGTGTAAAATCATTAAAAAATTTTTCATACGAGTGATTCTAACTTAATTTTAAGGATTGAAGTCTCCTTTTTCCAACGATATCCAAAAAATTGCTTTACGATTTTTTGAAACCGTTTCGTGGGTCAGAAACGACAAGCAAGTTCGAACGAACATAATCCTTGATAACATCGTGATATCCAAAAAATCGTTAATGTTCAAATTACTGTAATTTCGTAAAAAAAAATCGCACGACGATCAATTTCTACTCATTTTCAAGCTTGAAGCCTCTACTTTCACTATCTGTAACTAATTTTCCTTCATGATTTTTTTTCGTGTCACACCAGGTCAGTAACCAGACACACATTTTTCCAAAAACGTGTGTATTTCTGTTAATTTATAACAATGACATAACCGCTGATGCTGACACAAAATTCACCACTATTAAATTTAGCTATCTAGGACAAACTTTCATTTAATTATTAGATTTAATATTTATATTAAAATTCCCATTTTTTAAAATCCGCGCGCAATATTTTTAATAACGACGGTACAGACGACGTGCATTCTTATGCACGGAACGGAAGTTTTTTTGAACTTTGAGTGGGATGAAATGCTGCGAACGGCCGGGGGTAGTGAGTTGTAATAAAATGAAGCAGCGGGGCTAAATGAGCCGCGAAACTTTGCCGACCTACGAGATGGGATTGAAAGTTCAAGCTCGCGTTTTCAAGCGATTGACTGCCGGTGAAAATCGCAGTTGAACAACTTCTGCGTTTAAAAATGTCATCCCTGATGTTTGAGTTCTCCAAAGACTGTGGAACCTCAACCAACAAATTAAAAATTTCATGTGCTTGTTGTAAAGAATAAGTTTCAATTAATTCGGCAGTATTAACGGGACCCTAATCGATGGATCTATCGTTCGATTTTCAGAAGGACGGGCGAGCGTGATCTGTAGACCAGAATGAGAGAAATCAGCCAGGACTGGTCGAGCAGGGACCCACCGGCCCTCGGCACGAGAAATGATTTTTAGAAGGTAAACCATCCTTTTCTCTCTGCACTGAATTCTCTATTTCTCAAGCCTCTCTCTCTCTCTCTCTCTCTCTCTCTCTGTCTCTATTTCACTCAATCAAACTTTCAAGCGAGCCCAGAGAATTGCTTCACCTTGAGATTACTCTGGAAATACGAATTATCTGCATGCGATGTGTTTTGCTGTCGATACTATAGTGCCTCGTGAACTGTCTTTGACCATAGTTGTTTCTTGATCGTTCTAGGATCATAGTGATCCCGTGCATTTCGGAGCAGACCTCGGCCTTAATAATTTCCCCGATACCACAAGACGATATTAGTTTCTCGCGTGTCTTTGTTCGCCTTCGTTCCTGAGCTTTGACAGCAGAAAATTCAAATTTCGTTTACAAGAAATAACAACCACAGTTAGTAGATAATATCTGAAATCTTGATCACGAGGCTGACTCGTTGCCATAGTGCCAAGTGTCAATGTAATGCTACAACTATCCTAGAATTGCAACACGAATTAGAAATGCGTGAAACGAGAGCAGTTAATTGTCGAGCATCAGTCTCCGATTAAAATTGTACGCGTCGCTTCGAACGAAGTTTACACAGCCGAATTAATGCTCGAGGAGCCGGTAGGAAATATGAAGCAGGCAGCGGAGCGTCCTCCAGAGGACAGTTTAGTTTTCTTTGTGCAGGAGCATCGTTATCATTGGACGTTTTTCCTTGCCGCTGGGGACTGATTGGTGTCGTTGTTTACGGCGTTCCATTAACCCGTATTAGCGTAGGGAGACCTAGCGAGTTAGTACCGAAAGGAGACGCGACTCGAATCGAAAAAAGCTCTGGTCTCCGAGCCCGGATCGACGCACATTGCACGACGGAAAACAACCTGGAATCGCCGTAACCCAGATACGACGCATTCTGACCTAACCCAGCGCAATTCGCAGTATACGCGAGCGAGCCGAATTTCTGACCTAACCGCAGCCCCAGGTGACCTAGCCCTAAACACACATATGCGGCGCGTATGCTAATCCCCGTTGGCCATAGCGCGTCCCATTCTGTTCGGCGAGCGACCGCAATCGCGTCACGAGGACCTCGCGTTTTTGGAAATTACAACGTCGAAATCTTCGGATACCCTTGTCGACTCCGCCGGGAAAATAGGAAGCGCCCGGCGATATTCCGGGCGATCTTTTGGGAATTCCGGGTACCGAGAGGGCTAAAGGGTCCCCAGGAATTAATGGTCCTCGCAGCCGCCATTATCCTGGCCGCGCGAACGGTCGCGGAGTCAAAGGAGCGGTTCCCGGCAACTGGGTCACGCGGAGCATTAATTGCTCGAGGAAGTTCGAGCGAAACGAGATTATCCGACAAATTGTCTCGGTGCACGAGGGGCTGCGGCCCCCCTTTTTAGGGGAGAAGATCCGTCAGGGGAGGTCAAGGTTGCCGGCACGACAGCCCCACGGCGCCGCGCGGCGCATCGCGCGCGCCCCGCGGTTCAGGATTTCATTGATTCTTAACGAGGAGCAGAACGCGCGGGAGCTTGACACAGAATGTCTGTCGTATGAATAGTAACCCGAATTCAATTGAAGAGACCGAGACATTCGGCCGTGACGGACCGCCGCTTATGAGATTCCGAGCATAACTGCCGGCCCTAGGTCAACTGTTGTGGAGCTCGGCCCGGCCCCCCACGTGCGATCGATTGGGACAGCCTTCTGCACGCGTCTTGCACGGACTCGTTTACGGCCTCTGCCACCTGCCGATTTAGCTGGAAGCCACCCCGGATCGGGTTCAGCCACCTCAGAAACGCCCGTCGCGATAGACTTATGAGAAACCGAAGCTAGGCTGCTGTACAAGGAAATCCTTCGAAGCGGTACCTCGAAACCGCGGAGCAATTTTTAGGATTGGAAACCATAGACAGGTTCAGTTTGAAGTCTACGATGCTATAGGCATCGATATTTTCGATAATTTTGATTGGTTGAGTCGGTACCGAGCCAAGAAGGTAGAGCCTTTCAGCTACCGCGCTCGTAAACTGCGCGTGGTTCGTAGTTTTCGCTGCGGATCAGGTTCCGTTGCAGCTGTTGCGCGGTCTGACAACGAAATTAGGATACCGTAGAACGCCGGTCTTTTATTAGAACAAAGTTTTAATAACAATGCTGCGCCAGGATGTAGTATTCTTGTTCTCGCGCGGCAACTTTCGCCGGGAGATAGTAAGTTCCCATCTAATTTTCAATTTCATTAGCCAGCGAAGGGGATTTGCATGAAGATGATCGCGAGGGAAGTTGGTCGAACACGTCCGGATAATTATATAAAATATCGAGCCGGCACCGGGCCGGATTTAAACTGACCTGGTATTTTAATTTCCCAGTCGATACGGCGCCGTATCAATTTATTAATGCGCCACGGAGACCCATCCACGAATCCCCAATGATTTTATTTTAATCCGACAGGCGACGCCTGCACCCTATGGCCCTGTTCCACATTTGCCAGATCGCGGCGTCAATCTTTTAGGCATTTCGCGCGTCTTTCCACGTTTCTCAGTGGCCGTTCCATTAACTTCGTGTCGCGACGATTGGAAATTTTCAAGCGTACAAGCTAAATAAGCAAGCTAAATTTTAACCGGAGAAGCTAAATAAAGGTTTACTTCTACCGTGGACTTTCGTGGAGGATTGCAATTGGGGCGGGGAACAGAAATGGGTTAACAGACGGAGGATATTCCCGTTATCGGGGCGCGCGTGACGAAAACAGGGCCCGGAAGGTAAGAAGATAGGTGGAGACACGCGATTATGGTCGCCGGGCTGGAAGATTCCAGCATCTCAGTTCCGGTGGTAATAGGCGTACACACAAACAAAAGTTCGGACACGTGGCGAGGGGAGAAAGAAACGACGGGGTGCAGCCGGGGACGGCAACCTTGAGGGCGAACGATCCAAGGGGCGATAGTAAAAAGACGCCTGATTTCGGCCAGTCAACCCTCGGCCGTCGCAGACAGCGGACGCGACGCGTCCCGACGCTCCGACACTCGCTCCTCGACGCGAAACGTCATCGGACTCGCACGGACGTTTGTTTAAATTTTTTCCGCACTGTGTTTTCCGATTGTAAATATTTACCGTGGATCGTTCTTTTTGAAGCGAATAATCATAAAGAAGTGGCCGAGGAATGTTCGACGATGGCGTCGGCATACGGTGCCGGGTACAGTCGCTGGGAAAAGTTGCTCGGGACACTGTCGCTCGACGATTGAAAATTCCTCCGCGGATAAACAAACGCTGGAGTTGCTCGCAGGCTATTAGAATCCGTCGGAAGGATGCGAATAAAGTCGGCGGGATCGTAAATTCTTCGGAAGTTCCGGAACAACTTGTTATTGGAAACTGGTCAACGGAAGTGTCATAATCTTGCGAATACCGTTTCGCAGGGCGCTGTGCTCGGAGCGGCGAGAATGGGGCGGGTGGCGGCCGTCGCCGCGATCGACGACGACGTGAGAAATTGTTGGCCGGGAAGTTTGCAAATTGAGGGAGTGTGTCGCCGGTACCGGCGCTCGATTATTAGTGTTGGTCGAGATTATAGAGACATTTGGCGTGCGCCGCGAACACTCTGAGAACCGGCGGATTCTCCCCCTGGTACGTATCGATCGTCCTCCTTTCCCGAAGGGAAGTAACTTCTGGCATCCTTACTGCCGGCAAAAATTTCTGACTGCCGGGGAGCTACTTCGCCAACAAAGTGCATTAGCCCCCGCGCGAACCCGCCGACACCCCGGCAACCCTTTTAGCGGGGCCGTTAGACGCGGCTGATTGCCCCTGCGGATGTCGCCGCCGGCGCCCGGGTCGACCGCGACCCGGCCCAGAAACGACATCCGCGCCGGGTACACGCACGTTCACCCTCCAACATATTTTGACGTGAATGCTATCGCAATATCGATTGGGAATCGGTCTGTCTCTCTCTCTCTCTCTCTTTCTGTCCCTTTCTCTGAGTGTGTATGTGTGTGTATGAGAAGCTGTTCGTCATTCCACAACGTTCGGTGGCTAAAATTAGCTTGACGGTGATGCCCTAAATTGGACGCGACTTAAAAGAGAACGCGGACGATCTTGGCGGAATTTCGGTCACGGGGAATTCGCGCGAAAATTTGTCACAGCCATTTCGTTCTGCCAGGCGTGCTGCGACGCCTATGGATTTTTGTCCGCTGGGTGATGAAAGTCTGATAGTGTTTATCTTGACCGTAGACGCTTCGCGCAGAGAACGCTGCAGAGAAAATCTTAGGATTTGTGTATTAGGTTTCCGGTCGCTATTGTACTCACTATGTCAAGGTTGTTTCTCTAGCCGCTAGTTTTGCAGTTTGTCCTGTACAGACACTTCGCAACCGGGCACTTTGCCTCAGAAAACATTATCAATTAGCTCTCCAGTCAGGTCTATCAAGATCCACTTAGTCTAACCAACTGTTGGACTACCAGGAGCTAGAAAATAGGTCAGCGATCATGCCCCCATCATCAGGATTGGTATATCTATGTTTCCGCCTATCAGTCGACTCGGTTTGACCAGCCATCGGACTACTAGGACCTTGGAATTAGGTTACGGCTAGTTTATCGATGTCTGCCTATTTGTCCGCTAGCTGTTAGAGCAGCAGGTACTCGACAAATAGGTCAGCAATCGGATACGCACCGCTAAGAAGACAAGTTTATCGAGGTCTGGCTATCGGCGCACTTGGTCGAACTAGATACTAGACTATCAGCGCCTAGCAAATAGGTCGACAACCATGTTTCCATCGCTGTGACTAGTCTATCGATGTCTGGCCAGCAGACCAGTTGGTTATGGCTAGCTGTTAAACT